ATATATATATATATATATATATATATATATATGTATATATATATATATACATATATACAGTATACAGTATATATATATAATTTATATAGCAATATATTTATATACAGTGTATATATAGCTATATAGATATATACATACACATATGTGGCTACCACTACTCAAAGTCACTCAAGCTCAGTGCAGACCTCTCCACTGGACATAAAGAAGTGGAGAACCCCTTTAGGAAAAGATTACATGGGCAAAAACACCATTGATAGCACAGAAAAACATTTTTTATGGTACAATATACAAACTACTTTTACACAAGCTCCAAATTCTGGTATATATGTAGAATATTGAAACATTGCTTCAAAAGGAAATTGAAAGGAGAAATCTGAGCTAATGGTTAGTGATCACGTGTCCTACTCATGTTAATGCAAATGAGCGTTTCTGTGGTTTATCTGGCATTTATTAGCAATGACTTCATGTCTGATTGTGAAAACAAACACATCATGAGTTAATGTTATATTACCTGTGGGTTGGCAGCCATTATGGTATAATTCCCATCATCATCTAAGGAGGAAACTGAGGTGTGGAGGGAACAGGTGCCATCGGGTTCTCTCTGGATTCTGTAGTGTTCACTTCTTTTAGAGATTTGTTTCCCATCTTTGAACCAATATATCTGCAGATCCAGATGAAAAGAAAACATAAAAAACAGCTTGTCACTGTAGGGTAAAACAGTATATTTATACAAGATACCAGTGCCAGCAGATTAAGGCATACTCAGGCGTAACAGCTGAAACTCAAGGCAGCTGCACACTTACTCTACTTCAGTTTAACATAGCAAACAAATGAACAAGCCGATCCAAAAGCTATTTTTAACCAGCAAGAAAAATGGACTTAAGCAGTGCCAAGAATGCTAATCTCCAAAAGGTTACAAGGCTGTGGGCATCTCATGCATTCCACACAAATGGTACAAATGGCATGAAATTAGAGTCAGGGATCTGCAATCCTTCCAAAAGAGTCTTCTAGAAAATTCTGTTATAGCTCCACTATGCCTGCTCTTTGGGAAATACTTAATGAACTACTGTATATTATAAATGCTTCCCAGATTTTTTTGAGTATATCTCTACAAATCAGTTAGTGTATTGCAAATATGCGTATATACAACTAGACAATAGATATAATATTTATCATGCACACATGTTTAATTTGATTTCATTGATGATGCAAAGAAACACCAGCTAAAAATTTTCAATGAGAAACGTGTAGCAAATCCTAAGACTGAGGATGGGCCTTTATGGTTATAACCCACTGAGTTAATTGTTCCTTTTTTTGAAGCAGGCAAGTATGGCAAATGGCAATTTTGCAATGTTTTAGCTATCTGTTAGTTGATTATAGCTGCAAAATGACTATCTTTTACAATTTCACTGAACCTGGTTGGTATTTGGAGAGGACAAATAGGACTAATTTTATGAATCAGTTCAAAAAATGTAATTTGCTGCAAGAAAAACAAAAAGCAGACTCATCATTTCCTATTAATGGCATACAATGAGGAAACAGTGCTGGTTCTGATATCCAGTACAAGAGGTTTGCATCTCGCTGGCTATGTTCTACTACTGTAGCTTTATAAAGAAAATGAATCATGCAACTGGCCAGAGATGAAAGTACATCAAATCCCCTTCACTAACATTAAGTGTACCTTGTTGGCCTGGGGCTACATAAGCACATTGCTTTCTCTTTGTGTCTCCAGCAGCAAAGAACATCCTACATGATCTAGTCCAGAACATTTTTTTTTAACCTTTAACTAGTTAGAATGGAGGAAAAGGTTTTTTCATGCCGCTCAACTATAATACCTGGCATGCATTTGTATGCCTCCAAGCATATATTTCTCAATGATGATCATCATCATGGCACAATAGTTATTTGTAGCTGCCTAGACAAGTATTGTAGTCAGCTACAGCAGCATTTCTGTAGCTTGTTACAAGACACCAGCTTCTACAGATCTCTGCTACAAAGGTCCAGGTGTGACTTGACCCTTACGTAGCATTTGGGTTTCAAACAAGCTGCATCCAGTTTTATTAAAGCAGAACTCTGGATAAAATTTGTATTAACCCTTGCAGTGGGGCTACCCCACACTGCAAGGGTATTGGTCCTTGGAAATATATACTGTATTTCCCAGCCCCCTAAAAAAACAATTGCACACTAATATTTAATTGAACTGCCTTTAGCTTGATTACAGAAAACATTCCCCATGGCATCCTTTCGATGAGCTTATGCAATGTCACAACATTTATTTTTGTTCAGAGTTTCACCAAGATCTTGTATGTGTTGATGGGAGAGTCGGACTACTGAATAAAGTCTCCAGCACATCCCAAAGATTCTCAATGGGGTTAAGGTCTGGAGTATGTAGTAGCTTGTAGCCAATTTATATGTGAAAATGATGTCTCATGCTCCCTGAACCATTCTTTCACTATTTGAGCCCGATGAATCCCAGCATTGTTATCTTGAAATATGCCTTTGCCATCAGGGAAGAAAAAATCCATTGATGAAATTGATTGAAAAAGCCTGGTCATTCAGTATATTCAGGAAGGCAGCTGACCTCATGTTCTGGGCAGATTGCATTGCTGAACAAAGACCTAATATCCAATGGAAGGCTCTTACCTATTTGCTTAGCTAAATCCAGGTAGTGACTTTTTTTTGGCCAGGCAATATATATATATATATATATACAAGCGCTCCTATCCCAAAATGCAAAATTAACGCTAACATACCAAAATGGCGCTGTTATTACAGCGCCACAGTCTCAGTGAGCACACAGAGATGCGGCCTCCACATCTAAGTAGTGGTATGTTGTAAGCTGCAATAAATTACATATTTGTTCTTGGATTTAGATATGATTGAGGACCACTGAGTTAAATTACAGTGCTCATGACAGTCACATTATATGTCCAGAAGCCTAAAAGCAGTCTGCCCATGATGTAATTGTATAAGAGCTGTTATAATATTGGAACAACTGCACTTAGTACTATCAACACAGATTGCAGCTATAGGCTAGAGCCTTGCTTCTCAGGTGGTGGGTCGTGACCCAAAAGTGGGTCGCGACTCCATGTTCAATGGGTGCCCACATACCTTCCACTTTTCTAGGTGAGAGACTCGTCGGCCACTCCTTAGTGCAGCACTGTCAGTGGTCGCGCCAAGCAGCCATTCAAAATATGCTGCCCAGCCCTGCGTGTCAGCTTGAGGTGGGGTGGGATGGAAGTATGGCAAAAAGGGAGCTGCATCCATATGTGCATTGCTTACAGCTCCCACATGTGCCCTGTAGAGGTGACTGGACTGATGTCACATTCTGGCTCCCGGCACCTCTACAGGGCGCAAGGGAGCCGTACAAGCAATGCACATATGGATGGAGCTCCAGCACAGCAGCCCACGCTGGACCCCAAGCTGAGGATCCACTCTAGTTCTAATAAGGTAGTGAGACTGGGTGAATCTTAAAAAAAAGAGAAAAATATAATTTGTTGGTGTGTGTGTGTGAGAATGTGGTTGTGTGTTTCTGTAAGTGTTTTTTTAAGGTTCCATTCACACTAGTACAGTGCGTTAATCGCACAGTCCCATGCCCCCAGTTCTGGTGTGAAAGGTGTTTTCCGTTGCCATTCATTTGAATGGTTCCCTAAGCGCACCTCCCGCCCACGGTCCGACAGCCTGCACTCGAACACCCGGTACTCCAATGCCGTGCATTCCGATGCAGTGTGACTTGGGTCACGACTAAATGACCAAGGACAAATGTGGGTCCTGAGGTTACACAAGTTGAGAACCATTGGGCTAGAGGATGTGTAACAAATGGGGAAAAAAAGGTACACGTGATTCCAGTCAAAGAGATTTTGTAAGTAGTGCAGCCTAGAAAGTAAAAGCATAAATATTATAAATATTTATATTCTAATTTTATCCAACAACATAACCAGAAGCAATATAGTGCAGACTAACAGTAAAAAAATAACCTATTGTATTACATATCTAGAAAGTAGGATCAGTTCACTAATAATACTTTTGGCCACACTAGCACTTTTCTCAGATGTCAGCACTGACATCCTGCCAGACTGGATCTGGACATACAAATGTTTCTGAGATGATTCAAGATCCTGCTAATAAAACATTACGCATTTCTCAGCCAGACTGATCAGACAGCTACCATATGGGTATTTACAAATGCAAGGAGTAATATTCTAAATATAGTAATCCATAGGAATCATCAGACATTCTCTCTGCACTTGGAACCCAAATAGATGCTATGAAGCTGCCTTAGTTCCCAGAGTTGTTTGGCTGCTTTGGGCACAAGCAACTCCAGCTCTAAACCCACTTTAAATGAAACACGTTATATTATGTACATATGATGTGACTTGTCTGCGAGTAAAAATATCTCCTTGGTTGTATATAAACTCGAAATGCTAAAATACCTAGGATGTTACCCTTCAGTTTAATGCAATGCTGGCCTAATGGCATGGTTGTATTTACATATCATTCTACCCCAAGCTCCACCTTTTCTGCCACATAACTATCCTTCCTGAATATCTTTGCAAACACTTAAACCAGGATGTGCTATTGTTGGTGAGGTGCTAGCTGCTTCTACAAACACCATTTGACTATAGTCACTACAAAGTCCATCAAATAGGAGATCTAAGAGACCAGGGAGATTATGGATTGTTGCCTGAATCCTATATCTCCTATTTACAGCCTCTGCAGTTATTTTTATTACCCACAAATATCCAGATTTGACTAATGAAGGAAAAAAAGGCGACAAAAAAAAACATTATGCAAATCTTTTAACTTTGTTCTGACTCCTCTAACCTTATTGCCAGCACTTGGTAGTAATCTAAGTCTTTATTGTTCTTTAAACTATTTCTACCAGCTATTTTAAACCATGCAAAGGCATGTTCAAAGCCTGCCTGAATGCTTACAGTTTACACAGGAATGCTTAGCATATTGTCTAATAAACAAGATGCTTGGATACTGTTGCTGTGTCTGTTAAGTGTACTGGAACTGCAGTCTTCCAGCACTAATAATTTTCTCTGGATTAAAAATACCCATTTGTGATATTTTTTGATCTCAAGTTTCTGAAGTGCAATGAGAAAATGTCTGATCAGTCTGCAATGAGAAAAGAAGAAAGGTCCCATTCAGAGCAAGCAAAACTTCTGTGAACAATAAATAAAGGGTGTATTTTTCTTCCACACCACCTACTGAAATCCCTTTCTAAAATGGAACATTAAACATTTATTGAGGAGAACGGCCAATACATCACATCCTTCCAAACACAACAAAACCCGCAAATTAGAAAATGAATCCTATAAAAATATAATGAAACTGTTATGTTACTGACAACTGTAAAATGTTTTTTAATTACTTGATTATATAAAGTCGGGTTTATATTCTAGCTCGTCAATAAGCCAGTAAATACATTTACCATTGAATTGTTCATTAGAGACCTAATTATAGTGCTTAGAAATGGTAGCCCAGTATGTATCTTACAGGAAAAACTCAAATACAATCTATTTTGAAAATGACTGAATACATTTACCACAGTTTTCACATGACACTATAATATAGCTGGTTAAAAACGTATTGCTAACACTAAACACAACATCTAATTTTTCCTGTTAGTTTAATATAAAAGAATAAAAGAACATACCAGTTATCTGGAAAAATGCCAAAAAGCAACACCTTAGACCAACCCTTTCTTCTTGGGCATCTAATACTGGACATCTAAGACTCAACCCTTTTCACGTAGATGCCGAAAGACAGTTCTTTTCCCTTAGACACCAAAAAACTAAACTTTTTCCCATAGACACCAGCAAACCTTGTTCTTACAGACATGTAGAAAACAGCCTTTTCCTGCAGACATCGAAAGCCTAACCTTTTTCTATTAGACACCTAAAAACATCCCCTCTTCTCCCAGACATATGGGCAGCCCTTTTCCCATAGATACCTAAAGCCTGACTTTTTCCCCATAGATACCTAAAAACGAACCTTGTTCTTACAGACATGTAGAAAACATTCTTTGTCCGTAGACAGCTAAAGCCTAACCTTTTCCATTAGACACCTAAAAACTTACCCTCTTCCCCCAGACATATAAAGACAGCCTTTTCCCATAGAAACATTAAGCTTGGCTCTTTTCCTGTAGACACCTAAAAACAAACGTTGTTCTTACTTTTTCCCATGGACACATAAAGCATTCACTTTTTCCATTAGACACCTAAAAACATACCCTCTTCCATCAGCCACATATAAACAACTCTTCAGCTTTAGACACTTCATTCTCATCAGTCATTGAAGCTAGCTACAAAATGACCAGCTTCATTTAGTACTCATGTTTTAAAACATGATCATGTAACACCAGCCATTTGTATCTGTGTAGGCAGATATGGTAGCCAGCTGCAAATCACTAGAGAAAATATTGAGATGGATAGTTGTGTCAATTAAATCTATGTTACCAAACCTCTAGGTCCTATTAGCCAAGAATTTAATTTTTTCATAAATTAATTAATGGATAAAGTTGTCACCTACGTCATCCAATCAAAACTTGACAATTTAAGAACTGCTACGAAATGTCTGCCAACATCTGGTTGGCTTCAGTGACAAAGAGAAGTATTTTTTTTTATCCTGTGCACTGACTGCTGAAACCTACAATTACTTCTGCATTCCTGTTCCAAGCAGATTACCTAGTTATCATGTAACGATTGGAGTCCTATGTGACTCTTGGAAACAATACAACCAGAAAGTGACATACAAATGGCCTCTTAAGTGACTATTTTATAGAAAACAAGGGACTCCCATGTGTTTACAATTTCCTCCTGAATGATTTCCTGCTGCAGCAACTCATTACAATGGCCTCTTCCCAGGCAGGGAATTTGAAACAGAACATCAGAAAACAGCTCAGTCTGCTTCCACTAAGCTATGCTGAATGTGCACTAACAAAGTGCAGTGATGATGTTCACTGGCATCTGAAGTGTTATGAGATGCCATCAGAAATATTCAATAAGGCCATGGAGCAATGTGCAGAATACAGTGACCCATAGATTTTGATGACTTCCTCAACAGCATAAAGCTGAAATCTGGTTGGTTGCAGTGTGTTACTGCACAACATCTTTTTTTTTTTTTTTATTTTAAAAAGCAAACCTGTTGATAAAACTAAAGCCTGAAGTAAGATTTTTCCTCTTTTTTTTTACTTTAAAAAGCAAACCTGTTGATAAAACTGAAGCCTGAAGTAAGATTTCTCCTCATTTTTTGTTTTGTCCCCAGAAAAAAAGGGAATGTATTTCCACAATGGAGTAATGGGCAGCAATTTAAAAAAAACTTATTAATTCTACCCTTAAAAACTGGAAACTCTTTTAAAAACTAGATAAGTCTCACTTTAAAGGAGAACTATGGGGTCAGTGTTTTTCCCCATAGTTCTCCTTAGGGCAACGGGAGGACACAAACTAGCGTTACCCTAAGCTCAGTATACAACTATGAGGTGAGTGAAAAGCACTCACCTCATAGTTCTCCTTTAATAGCTACATCTGTAACTGGTGTGGTTGATTTATTAAAGGAGTAAAGGGGAGCTTTCACTTAGTGAATATGATAAACATTTATTTTGCAAATAATACATAATCACACGCAAGAAAAAAAAAAAAAGCACTTGATTATTGACTGAAGTCAGCACAGCTTCCCTACAGTCACAAAGCTAAGTGAAAAACTCAATTGCAACGTGAACATGATCATCTGCTTTATTAAATCAACCCTAATTGCTAGTGTTCTGGGTTCATCCTTTGCATGGCTTTCCTAGATGGGCCCTGATCTTCTCCCCAATCCAAAAACATTCCAGAACGTTAAAGGAGAACTATGGAGTCAGTGCTTTTTCTCATAGTTCTCCTAAGGGTAATGGGAGGACACAAACTAGCGTCCTCCCGTCACCCAAATCTCAGTATACCACGAGCTACAGCTCGCGGTATACTGAGACGCCACAGCCGGAACAGATCCCGACAATGCTGTCTGGACCCAGCTGCGTGAGTGACAGCTGGCTCTGCCTATCTAGAGGCAGAGCCAGCTGTACCCGCCCCCTCCCCCGTCCGTTCCGCCAGTCAGAGCTGGAGGATCGGACAAGGGAGGGGGGATCCCTGCAGGGAGCCATGAGTGACAGCCTCGGCTCTCAGCACGGATAGATCAAGAAGTGAGCGAGCGCCGGTATGTGTTTGCTCACTTCCCGATCTACTGAGCCGACCTGTGACAGTTTCATTGTCACAGGTCGGCTCAGATTATGAGGCTAAGCGAAAATCACTCGCCTCATAATTCTCCTTTAATTAGCTTCCATTCAAAAAGTACTCTGCAGTATGTATGCTTGTTTGGGTTTGTTAGAAGCAACTTTCCTTTGGGGGGAATAATTGATGTGAAAGAGATGTGCTGCTGCTGTATAAATAAGAAAATGGTGCATCACATCCTGAGACACTTTTAGTTTCAAGAAATCCTAAAAGATATTAGGTTATTTGATTTACTGTACATGGTGTATGATAGCAGATCCTCAATGTACATTTATGCCTTAATCTTTGATAAAAGGTTTACATCTGGCATGCAGACTATAGATCAATCTTGCCTGTATCACACATATGACAGTCTGTTATACGAATATCCTACACATTTTTGACACCTTTTAAATCACAAGCAGACAACCACGGCAATGAAATCTTGATAAGATGCAGCTGTAGCTAAAGATTTTAAACTTGAATGTGGATCCACTCTGTGGCAAGGATGAAGTGGTTTGTGGGGGAAAATACAGTCAAGTGAGACAAAGCAAACCATCAGACCAGGGACTTAAACCAGACCATACTGTATGTAAAAGGTATAAATAACAATACTGAGTAAAACAGCCACCATAATTCTTTATAAAACATGATGCTAATCCTTAAAGTATATTCTAAACTGTTTTCTTTATTTTGGTAATGGCTAAAAAGAATAATCTTTTTGGCCACCTGTGTCACATTGGATAGATTTTGTTTCACTTTGTTTCACAGAAAGTGAAAAGACATTCATCCAAAGTCAGGAAAATGTTAGGTACAGTAGCTGTCACTGCAACAGGTGTCCCCAATGGAAGATTTTCCCTCTGTTACTATTCTGGGGGATAACATTTCGGATTTTTCTCTCACTTTCAGTCCCATTAGATAAGACAAAAAGGTTTTAGCTTTAGATACAATTTAAAGTATTATGTTAAAAAGTTTTTGCAATGGATGAATTGTTTCTTAAACATATGCAGTAGACAAAAATATAACATTGGCTTAAAAAAGCTGAAAAAAAAATTAAAATGGAGATGCATCTTGTGGAAACCAAATATCTTCTTTTTCTGAACTGTCCTGGGTCATTTCTGCCCTCTGGTTTAATAAATGTTCTTCCAGCCCACTGTGAGTCATGAGCATTAAAGAGTTTACTGACAACAATTTCTTGCTTAGCAATGTCAACATATTATAAAAATGGCATGATGACACAAGGTATATCACTTGGCCTGAGGACCATAAATCAATTGTGATCCCTAAACTCTCCCTTACAGTTCTAATAATGTCACTTTGAGTTTTCAGCTTTTTTTAATCAATATTTTTCACAACAGTTTGTCACTGATATAATAGAAGAATATTTTCATACCTTTGGCTTTGGATTGCCCGTGACCTTGCATGTGAAAGTGGCTGGCATGCCTTCAAAGATCTTAAAGTGTTGCAGTTTTGTTTCAAATTGAGGAGGGGTTCCATCAGATTCATCCCCGTGTTCTACATCATCATCCGATTCTTCCACAGGAGAACGTTCTAGGCGATACTCAATTTCACTTATCAGCCTCTGTTCAAAGCTGGATACTTTGTACTCCTATCATATTGAAAAGACAACATGTCAGAATACTTCATTATTAACATCTTTTCTCTTTGAAAACACTTCAAGTCATCAAAAATCTGCAAGCATACTGTTTCTAAAATAAAAAAAAAATACTACTTATTTATTGTATTTCACACTACAAAACAACAACACACTACAACATTTCTTTATACAAGTTACACAAATTATAAAGAAAATGTGATTTTTTTTTCAGACAACAAATAAAACCGAGGAAATAACGAATGCTATGTAGGAAGCATCACACCTCTGCTAAAGTCAGACATTCTAATAATTTTACTTTTAAGTGAATCATTTATTTTTCTTTTGTATAAAGTTTGAAAGGGCTAGAACCTTTGTCTGATGTTTACTGTGGATGTGTTTAGAGACAGTAAGCACCCCAATAGAATACAGACAGAAAAAAAATGAAAATAAACCTCATGATCTTTCCCTACCTCATACAATATAATTTTCCATCATTTCTTGCAGACAGACTGAGCATTGTTTGTAGCGAATGAATGAATTTAAAATAACAAACTCTTTGCAGTCATTCTAAATTGTGCAACCTCCTTCTCTTAGAACCACAGTCACTAGCCTGGGGACAGGGTATACCAGAAGACAAGCTCAGGAATACCTTGTGCATAGACTCAATGCTGGTATAAATATTAGAGGTGATTTCTAAGACAGCTGCATTCCCCCAAGTCTATTCAGGGTACGGCTTTCTGTATTAAATTACTTTTGTTACAAAAAGATCATTTGGTAGACTTCCATGTATGTTCACAAGCACCACAACTACAATTCTAAATGTCTCAAAGGAAATGGAAAAGGAAAATATTAGTCTGCAAGCCCTTAACCATGTGTATTTTTTGGCCTGTAATGTTAAAGGTAGAGATCGACTTTGATTGTGCTATATGTTGCCCCATGAGACAGAAGCTGTCTATGAACCACATACTTTTCTTTGTAAAAACTTGATCTGTATATATTGAATTCAGCTCCAGGGAACTGTAATATGTGTTTATTTTAAACAATGTTTCAGATTTTTTCTCAAGTTTAAGCACTCTGCAGACTTTTTTTTACTGCATTTCTTTAGGTAAAGGAATGAGCAAACAGACCTCTGTTGAGGGTCACATATCGACTAGAATAATAAAGACACCCGCAGACTGTTTCCCACTAAAAATACTCCATGTCATTTAATCTTCACTTGTATAATTAAACTTTAGAGGATACTGTCAGCCTCAAAAACTGTCTTTTATTAACCTGCTTGTCATATATGGGCAAATAAACATAACAATAGTGCTTCTATGGTATGTGTACCAATTCTTAAGAATCTCTCATTAAGGCTTAGCTATTAAAACACATTAAACATCATTTAAAGGGTTTGTTTGATAAGGTAGAGTTATAACCCCGTGAGAAGGATGATTTAACTGCTTTGGTATGTTTCATATCTACAGGATCCCTTCTTCACTAGGAAAGTTTGGTCAGATGCTTTTGACCTCGGTAAAACATGCCACCCTGGGTTACTGCATTCTTTAACTTGGCTGTTTATTGCATGTTCATTCATTTTTACCGGTGGGGTGAAGGTAACATTGTGTAAAGCTTTAACAAAAATAGCAGCATGGGAGCAAAAGTCAAACATCAACCTGAATTGTTCCTATAAGTGTGATATATTAAAAGGAAAACTACATGTACCTTCTGGTAAAGTGAAAGATCAGTAGTGCTTCGTCTGGTGTTTAACACCCTTTCTGGGTCAATTACTAGACTACTAGATTTGTTAGCTAGGTGGTCTGTGGTATTAAACATGAATCCCAAGATGAGATTTAACTTACATTATGAAATGAAGATGATGGTATAAACATTTTATTCAGCATCCTTTTGGTAACTAAACAGTCAGATTTATCAGTATTGATGCCCTAAATCCTGTGTTAAAGTGACAAGTTGACAGTTACAACTAGGAACCAGAATGCGCCACTTCTGTTCCCACAATCACTACTAGTGCCCCATTCCGCTACCTTACCTTCCCCTACCATGATGTGCTTGCAGCTATATAGCTCACACTTTTCAGTCTGATAAAAAGTGACTATAAATATTTCAACTATATTAAAAACCATCAACTAATAATAATTAACCATATTTTAAAAGAACCTAGTCCCTAGATTTAATGGAAATATTACATCCTTTGGTGGATATACCATAAATACACACATATTATATATATATTGTTCTGTTTATATAGGATGTTTTTCAGAAACATATTTGTTAATATTTTGTTATTTAGATGGTTGGAATGGGGACAAAAACATGGAGCAATGATTCTCTTACAGAAAGAAATATACAATTTTTCACTTCCAGTCATGAAAATTGCTACACTGCAACATCGAACAAACATTTATATACATACGGCCTCATTCACACTGCCGCGCGTATACGCGCGCACCTACGTATTATGCCATATGCAACACATGCAAATAAATGGCTCCATACACATAGCCACGTATGGAGCTGTATATTTGCGTAGCGTATATATGCGCAAAAACAGAATGGAACAGAGATGCGCCTGGGCAGCGTATTCTGCGTACATGCGTACAGCACATTCAAAATTCCATTACGAGTGATGCATTCTGGGATTGCATATAGTGCACGCATAGACGCTCGTATATACGCGCATAGACGCTCGTATATACGTGCATAGACGCGTATATACGCAATATACAATTTTGCTTGCGTTGTGTGTGAATGAGGCCAAAGATATAGTACAAAACAACAAACATAGAACTGGAGGTATATAAATGACAGGTATAATTTATATGTGTTGAACACCAGTGTCTGATGATATTAATGCAGAAATGATGCCCATTTCCTGTATAAGGGACACTTTATATCAGTGGAATTCAGTGAGGCTAATTAAGAAGTCATTAGTGAAAGTAAAACACACAGTAATTTCATGCAACAATATTATGGAAATGAATACTTTACTGAGGTATATAACATTCTCAGTTTTTTTCTCCGTTACTTAGGAAAAACCCTTTCTTACCCCAATGGATGAATAAACATGACACAGAGTGACAAAACAAAAGGCAACAAGGTAAAAACAAGTGATTATGACAGATGTTAAATTAGGCAAACTGCAAAACATGTAAGATGTTAATTTTAAGACCAATGATCAGTGAGGTGTAGACAAGGAACACAGGTCAATAGTAACCTTCTGCATTTCAAGAGGATTCTCTATAGAAGCATCAACAGAGGCAACTTCCTGCAAAGGTAGAGAAGAAGGTGAAAGCTGAAGCAAGAAAACAGTTACTGATTTGTGCTCTGATGACACTTCTCCACAGAATACAGGGTATAAACTCCGACCCAGGATCTTTCTATACAAAGCAGTATTTAATTATTTATCCCATTATTCTATACTAATCTATAACTCTTCCTAACAGACGGATCCAAAAAAAAACTTCCTGCAAAGATAGAGAAGAAGGTGAAAGCTAAAGCAAGACAACAGTGCTCTGCAGACACTTCTCCTTCACAGAACTCAGGTATTAACTCTGACCCAGGAACTTTCTTCACAGAGCAGTATTGAATCATTTAACCTATTTGGAATGCTGTGATATCATGCAGAAAATAAGGTTCTTTAAGGTTCTATTCTTTATCTTTTTGACACAGATTTATAAAGGAACACCCAACCCCCCATGCCAAGGTGCTAGGTGTGATCCCTGACTCCAAACTTACATTTCTGCCACACATCCCATCACTATCCAAATCCTGTTGCCTTCACCTTTCTAACATCTCCAAAATCCGCCCCTTCTGAACCAATGAAACCACAAAGCTATTTATCCACTCACTTGTTATCTCTCCTCTCCACTATTGCAACTCCCTCCTCATTGGCCTACCACGGCACAGGCTATCCCCTCTTCAGTCTCTCAAGAATGCTGCTGTTAGACTCATCCACCTAACCTTCCACTCAGTGTCTGCAACCCCCCTCTGCCGATCACCCACAAAAAAAAATTGAAAATATAACAAACACTTACTTAACCATCCACAACTGCCCCCAGCTATATCTGCCACCTCGTCTCAAAGTATCACCCTAACCATCCCCTCCACTCCTCCCAAGACCTCCTGCTCTCTAGTTTCCTCATCAACTCCTCCCATGCTCGCCTTCAGGACTTTTCTAGAGGTTCTCCCATCCTCTGGAACTCCTTACCCCAACTTGTCCGGCTATCCTACTCTGACTGCCTTTAGAGGACTGAGGAATCATCTCTTCAGAGAAGCCTATACCGCCTCAACCTAACTACTGGACTATCACTTTTTTCAAACAATTCATCCCACACGGCTACCACCGGGCAGAGCCTTCCTTACCAATCTTGTCTTGATTTGTATTGTAATTTTAATGTCCTCCTTATATTGTAAAGCACTGCGCAAACTGTTGGTGCTGTATAAATCCTGTATAGTAATAATAATAGAGGAACTATCTTAGGCTGCTATATTTTTTTATGTTATTTTTTAATGTGTAATGATCCACAGTTCTTCAAAGGGTTAATAATGGAACCTTGTTACAAGCACATTTATATAAGAATATTAGCACATTAAAAGTATGTACATCTTCATGTTTCCACACGTATGTACACCGTCTGCATCTTCTGTGGCATAAACAACCACTTACTGTAAATTTGGCTTACAAAAGTAATTAGAAAATGGTCATGGACAGACACTTTCCCCAGCACATACACAATCAAAATACAATACTATGATCACTTGAGCCACTTGATATACATATATATATATATATATGTGTATATATATACAGGGCTCAAAATTTCCACGAGTGAAAATTGCGTGGGGGCAGTACGCCACCGGCAGTACGAGGGGGGAATCTGCCGCCTCTTCAGCAGCGGCGATCACCCGTTCAGCTCTCCCCCTTCTCTTCTCCTCTTCGGCCGCTCTATAGCTGCAGCGGCCGGAGAGGAGAAGAGAAGGGAGAATGTTCAGCTGGCTGTCCGTCATCTGCAGTCTTCTTCCTCCTGAAGGGAGGCTTCAAGTTGGACATGGAGGACAGATCGCTGTATGTATGTGAATCAGGTCAGCCATGTGCACTGTGCGTTTCTTGCTGACCTCTGCACTGTGCGTTCTTGCTGACCTCTGCACTGTGCATTATTGCTGACCTCTGTACTGTGCGTTATTTCTGCCTTACACCGCTGATCGCTCCACTGTGCGTTATTGCTGACTTCAGTACCATGTGTTACTTCTGCCTTACACTGCTGACCTTTGAACTGTGCGTTATTGCTGACCTCTGCTTTATTACTGGCCTCTGTACTGTGCGTTACATTACTGGCCTCTGTACTGTGCGTTACATTACTGACCTCTGTACTGTGCGTCATCCTGCTGACCTCTGTACATTTCTGCAATGCGGGACCTGAAGGGAGGCTCAACGAGGCTGCTAGAGGGTTCAAAAACTGCACGGGCCGGTGTGCGCAACACTGCCCGTTCAGCATTACAATCATCGACAAGCCCTCCCCCTCGGTGGGCAGGGCTTGCAATGATCGCAAGTACAATCTGCCTGTCCAAGATGGGCAGGTCGTACGAAATTTTAATGACCTTACAACCATCGCACAACAAAAGTCGTGTGATGGTTGTAAGGTGTAATGCCACCTTAACATTACTGACCTCTGTACTGCTGACCTTTGTACTGTGCGTCATTGTACACACCAACAGTAACATAAACCATAGGAGCCTTGTATCCAATCTGCTAACAATCATCCAACTCATTACCTTCTCTCCTATCAATCAGGTTGATCAATAATCCAGTCCACATCTGTGGCTATCAATCAAATTCATTCTCTGCTAAATGATCAGATTGTGTAGATTTGACCATACTGTATATGTGTATGTGCACAACCAATGTCTGCCCATTTGATCTTCATGTGTCAAGGAAACAGTCAAGGAAACAATTGACCAAGGATACATGCTTGAATAAACTCCACTGTACATACTCCAGGGAAGCAAGAATGCATGACAAGCTTGCCAGGTCACTGTTTAGGTATCATAATCACACGGAAAGCAGGAAGAAAAACATGCATTAATGCACAGCTGACTGCTATAGAATGAGTGTTATGGATGAAGCATTCATACTTTCTGTCAATTACATTTACTTAACAAAAGAAACATTTAGGATTTTTCTATTCATTATAATATATTGCTGTTTCCTCATTTGTGATTCACTAAATGTCCTTCAATGGTTTGCTTTTGATAAGCTGTTTGTTAATGATTATTGTGGCTTTATGGAAACATGTCAAAATGTTTCTTTCTGGCAAGGAACACCAGCTCAATTGTGTGTATTTCATAGAGGTGAAACATATAAAACTAAATATGGAGCAACCACATATTTTCTTCATATAATATAAACTATGTATATGTAGATACAAAGAAAAATGTAATCATATCATATGTACCTGTGTATTTATATCATCTTCTGCTTCTTGCAAGTTAAACACTGTTGCAGCATTGTCGGCTCCCAGTAACCGCCGAGCCATTTTCTCTTCATACGTCAATTTCTAAGAACATAGGGAAGATACAAATATTTCATTTTCAATCGCTCATGACTTGCCTTTCTAAATTCAGTGGCGGAATATGTTAAGAAATATGACTAATGTCTAACTTTAAAAGGAAAGCTAAAGGATAGCTGACAGTTTCTTTGTAACACAATATGGATAATAAGTGCTTAGGTTTGCAGTTAATATAATACCGGTTGGCCGTTGTTCAGGAGCTCATCTTTAAAACGCAGCTTCCTCTCCAGATCTTGTATCACTGCATCTTTTGATCCCTTGATCTCATCATCAGAGGCTATGCGAGCAGTCCGGCCTGCCTTCCTTTGGAAGCCACTACCAGAAGAAATATTGATAGTAAATTACATTCTATTCTTGTACTGTTGGCAACGAATATTATAGATTTAAAATCTTCATAACATGCACATATGAATTCCTGACTGTGGTTCTAACCCCTCCCTACACTATCAAAGTCTTATAATACTTTAGGTTTAAACTGGAGATTGCTCCAATACTATCTGTCATAAGCAGTTTTAGTTCTTCTCCACACTTCCCTGGTCATGGTTTTCTTTTAGTATACAGTCTATGCAGGTAGTATGGTGAAATACAGCATTAAAAAGATGTCCCCTTTCAAACAGTGGAGATGATCAGGGTTGTACAGGCAGGTTGCTCTCTCCACAAACCCATCTCTGCTTCCTACCAGTAACCTGATTTGTAGCTAGGTGAACAATGCTCTGACGATGCTAGAGTACTGGGTGCTACTTCTCTCTCTCTCAGTTTACCTTTCTCTTTCAATTCTATCTGTATCTCTCTCTTTCATTCTTTGAGGGGAAGTTACAAAGACTAGAGCAAACAAAATCGGGCAGAGTTGCCCCTGGCAACCAGTATCTAGCTTCCATTTTTCAAACTTTTAGTGAATTCCCTTCTTTATCTCTTGTTTTCTCTCTATATATTTTTCTCTCTGTCATTATATCTGTCTATGCCTCCTGTCTTTCTGTCTCCCTTTTTTCCCTGTTGGTCTGTCCATGCACACTTTAAACTCTCAGATTATTAGAATGTTGCTATTAAGTGAGGACACACTGAAACTTGAACATCTACAGTAGCAGCAATGGTTACAGACTGCCCTGTGTGAGCTGCTACAGTTCTTATGTCTCTAAAAGGCCATCTTCTGTACAGTCCCCCTCATCCCACCCTCTGCTCTAATACAGCACGTTGGATAATAGGATATGTGAAATCCTCCATCTTGCTAAAGATCAGACCAAACCAGATCTAAAATATACTTCAAATAGTGTCTGGCAAAACAATTCTTTCGAAATCCAGCAGTATAGAGAAAAGATACTCTGCCAGTTCCTTTGCTTCAGCATCTAACCAAGAAGTCACTGTCCCATACAGGTGTTCATTCCTTCAGCGCCTTTGCATTGCAAGTGGCAGACGCATACACCAATCCCTTGAAGTTTGCTGACCCAATCAGCTACAGGTGAGCTGCTTTGCTGTGCAACATTAGCACTGCTGTAGTAGGTGCTCAATGTGGCTGATCACTACATTCCCTCAATGTGGCATTGACAGTACAGCCCAGCACTGTGCCGTGGCCCAGTGGTTGAAAACCACTGCTCTAGAGAATGCAGCATTTCAATTCAGTAGCAACTAATAACATATGTATATCGATTAGATATCTATATCTCAATATAGATTAGCTAAAAAATGATAATGCAAATTGTAATTAAAATAAACTCAGCTTTGTGGCCTGACGTAAAGGAGAAACAATGGCCTGCTCACTTTAAACCAAAGTTCATCACACCTGTTATATAAAATTAATGGTGTATACTGTTTTTGGGGTGATAAATCTGTGTCATATCATATTCTCTAATCTTTATTTTAAGGTCCCAGAAAATTAGCAGGAAACCATTCTAACTCACTGACAGGGCCTAATTTACCAAAACTAGAGCAAGGAGAAATGTCTGTGTTGCCCATAACAACTAGATATTAACAGCTCTCATTTTTATCCAGGCCAGAATAAATGAAAGCAAAGCTTGGCTACGTGTTTACCTGGAAATGTTAATAAGAACTATGGTTTTGTTTAACCAACCAACTGCATTTTACATTACTTGGTTTCGCTTTGCATTGTCATTCTGAATAAGCTAATGTTTTCCAGTTTCAAAGTACAAGTCATAGTGTATAGGCATAGATAATACATTATATTTCTTTAATGTTTTCTACGGTTGACTTATTGCCATGGTATTTCCTCACATTGTAAAAGGAGGGTATAAAGTTCTACTAAAGACATTGCCCTAGGGAAAGCAGAAAAATTATATCAGGTCACAGCTTGAAATCTTGAGTCTCTGAGATATCACCTCTTGATTAGAATGATACAGAAGATACTGCTGAGACACCAAGTATAAAGTGAAAATAAAAATGATACCTTAAATTTAAAATATTTACAAAGAATTTGTTCTCAGTTTCTGAGAAGTGGAGCATTATGAGGGGTGTTGGAGATCAAAAAATTGCATGACCCCCACCATAGTCATCTGGAAATACTGTAACGAAATCCAGATTGCGCTCAAAACACATTTCAAATTCCTTGGTGGTTACATACAGATGGATGATAATGTTTCAAATGTTGTTTTAATCTTTTCCTTTCTAATACCATCCAAAGTCAATATATTTTTATGAATTGTTATCAATAAAACAAAGGTAGCTGTAAATATTTTAACTGTAAATGCATTTTTTTTAAGATTTACCTTTAATATCTAAAACTTTAGGATTGTTTCTTTGTATATTTTTTCGTAAGTGGATGCTGCAATTGACATTCTCCATAAATAAAAAGCCCCATAAAAAAATAAAAACCTGTTATATTTTGGTCCACCTCAGATGTACACAGGCATATATGGGACCTGTGTTGATGAGCTTTTATTTCCTAAAAGTTCCCTACCCTAAACATGTACATGAGAATGCAAAAGTAGGTTGATGCTGCTTAGGAGGGAAAGTGCAAGTCAGAAGATGGTTATCTTCAGACCAGATGTAAATCAATGAATTTTGAATGATCACAGCAGTCCCTCAAAATGATTTGAATGCACCTCATCAACACAAACCCAAAGCCCAATGAAACCGGCCCATAGTCTTGTTGGTACAAATAAATAGTTTAGCATTAACAATATGCAAAAAGCCAAAGTATGTTCTCCTATAAACTGTTTATTCTCCTCTACTACACAGAAAGATGTAAATACACAATGTAACTGGTTGATATGGGTAAGAAGAACAGATTTTCAGTCAGATATCATCTTAAAATCATGAGGCACAGCCCTAAACAACCATATCAAGGAGAGGAGATATACACCATGGATGTGTCCTAATAAGATATGTTGGGCTGGTGGCCCTGAGTGCAGGTGCTTCTGTTGGTTATGTATTTAGATGAAGCATTGAGTTCTTGAGGAATGCTGAATTAAGTTTTACTTGCTTATAAGGACATTCTATCTGAGTATACAGCATTATACAGGAAACATATAGATAGGAAATATTCCTGTGTATCATAGATAAGTATGCATAAGCATAGAGGCTAGAGACATAGAGACATTGCAGTACAGCTCCAAAGACATAATTACATCTCGATATGCTGTTGCATTTCCAACAGCTTCACCATTTAGACATCCATCAGAGCAGGACCCACAGTCCTGCAGTCATGCTGCGATCACAGCATGTGGGAAACGGAAGTACCAGATGTCAAGTGACAAAATGCCAAGAGCAGCAAAGGAAGCTTATGCTGGATGATGGGAAAAGGCGTGCCATAACAATTGTTCCTTTTGGAACATCCAACTTTTATCATGTCCACTAATCACTGTTACTTTCTATCTAACTATCCCTGCCATCAAAGGGCCACTAAGTTATGTCCCCTCCAACCAGGCCAAAGGTCCCTAGACTTCCCCTGAGGAGGTCCTGTATATACCACTGACAATGAGCACTGTATTCAGGGTCAGTGTATGAAACCTATTTTGATTTGTTCTGTAAACTGTACTGTCTTAGAGATTTGGATTTCTATTACAAAACAAAGGGGTCTATTCACGAAGCAGCCGAAGGATCTAGCCGTAGCTTCGGCCGATCCTTTCGTCTAGGTTTGGCCCCAGGACCCCTTCGGCTGAGTAGAACCGAAGGGCTGCTGTACGGGCTAATCACTATAGCCTGTACAGCTCCCGAACTTGGCCGAGAGGCTCAGTTGAGCCGGAGGCATATGCCTCGGCTCGGCTGAGCCGCGCTGAAAGCCGAAGCTGGCCGAAGCTGGCAATGAGGTTATAATAAAGTATTCTTAACAGCCAATGTATTTCATTGTGCCATGAGCTGGTCATGTTAAGTAATTTGTGTTTACTTAGGCTGTGTGAGCAGTACAGTCGCAGCTGGAAGTCACTTTTCTTGTTATGAGTTTTTTTCTGAAGCATTGGCACATATCTGAAGACCTGGCAAACATGTTGTGATTCTAAGACAAGGTGGCAACATTTCAGATAACAGCTCTGTAACTTGAGAATGTGTTCGAGTTTACAGAGTATATAGTACACTTCTGTAGTAACTGGTAATGTCAATCTGTGTACATGTACAGTAAGCGAAATTAACTTCCAGTACAGTTTATATAACATTTTTCTTCTATATGCCACATGTCTGTCTGCCTTGTTGGCTATCTTTCTACTATCTATTATGTAAATATCTATTCATCTATCATCTATCTATTTATGTATATGATTATGAACAAAATGTGGGTAACACTACTAACTTAGTTTGTCATGATACCACAAGTTCCGTGTGATGAGAACAGTCAACAGTACAGGAAAGACAAGAATCCCAAAATACTGTGCATGATGAATATGAATGGCAGAAAAGGAAATATCTGTGTTGCCTATTTAAAAAACTGCATTTTTCTTATAAAAGCACCAGCAAAAGGACAGCTGCAAACTGACTGGCCATGTTGGATGATAGCCCTACTCACCCTTTCAATTTTATATTCAGAAGGCCAGTAAATCTGTATAAATACCCCTTCCATTACATGGTTGACTTACTGGTTACAAACCCACAACTTCCAGAGTACTAAATTAATTGAATGGGCAGATTTGAGAAAAGACATGTTTAGAATGATTAAACATGTATTGTACAATACCAGGTGGACATTCTATGGCACCTACTGGCTTTTGTCAAATCAGTGTGAACTGTAAAATTATCTATATAGACAAAGTGAAAGCAAATGTACTCACGGAGGCATGACACCTTTTGGTAGTCCAAGCTCATTGAAAGAGACAGGTGATGACTGGCATGGCAACATGGAACTGAGGAAAGCCGCAGGACTGTGGCTGGAACTAGAACCTCTGGTTGTTGGAGACTGAGACGGACTGTATGAAGGAGAAGGTCCAGATCCAGGAAGTGGCGGAGGAGGTGGAGGAAGAGGAAATGGATCCTGGGGAAAATAGTTTGCAGTTGGACTCATCACAGGAGGTGGTGGAGGAGGAGGAGATGATGAGGTTGGCGACCAAAACTGTTCACCTTCAGGAGCAAATGGCTGTGAGAAAGGTTGCACAGGAACTCTTGTAAACTGCTTTTGAGGTGTTGAGGGTGATATTGGAGATGGGATGCTGGAGGTAGAGGAACCTGAAGATGGTGTAATGTAGCCTGGGGCATTGCTCACGGTCTGGGCAGCAATAAATTGTTTAGGCCGAGCATAGTTGAAGGAGCTTGCTGGCTGCATGGCAGGAGAACTGTGGGAGTTGAGAACACTCATTTGCACTGGTGAGGTGATAAGCTGACTGGCCTCCAGCTCCTGGAAGGAAGGTGGAGGAGGGAAGGATGGTGAGGGTGGTGTGTTTTGCTGATGACTGGCTTGTTGCTTCCAGGCAGCAGATTCCTTCTCGTGACGTATCTGATTTTGTAGTTGCAGCAGTGCCTGAGAATCCCTGGACACGAACGAGATAAAAAAAAAAGAATTATGAACAGGGAAGTGGTATGCACAGCATCTGAGCAGTGTGTTCAACAGAAACTACAGAAGGAATGCTACAGTATTCCTAACAACAGCTTTAAGTAAAAAGCAGAGTTCCAAAGAAAATAAACATAAAAATGTTCAGTGGATATAGCTGCCGGTGTCCTGTTTTGTAATGGAGACTGGATGTCCAATCCTGAATGTGTCACATCTCTGACAATTACACTCAGATTACACTGACGATATAACACAGCACAGTGGGAAATGAGTAAGAACACTAACAAATTCACAAGAAATGAACACTCCTGCATCCTTATACAAACACATATTCATGGCAACTAAATGCACAAAGAAAGCAGAAGTCTATATCTGTGCATGAGCTGTGTGCTAAACATGAGTGGTCTTATTTACTCTGGACCTATCCCATTTCACGCATCAGTTAATAAGACACATACTAGCATTACAAAATGACTTTATACGATAAAAAAAAGCATCTCATACCTGTAATTAATAAAAAAAATGTTACACCAGAACTCATTAACTAAAAGCTCAGGCAAAGATCACACTGGCGTAATTTAATAAACCGTTTTTAATTCTAAGGTGCAGTGATTAGAATTTACTGTGCTGAAGTCAGGACGTACAAAATAAATTATTGCAATTATTTTAAATAGGGCTGACTGCAAAGGGCATTGTGGAGTTTTCATGTCATTAAAGTCTGCTGAGAGTCTATTGTGTAAATAAGACAGACCCCCCATCTGGTGAACTTGCAATAAGATGATCAGCAAGGCACGACTTTTATGCACAACGGCAGCAAGACGGGAACAAGCATAGATGATTGGAGAACACAGCTTTCCCCACAAACCTATATAATTACAAACTAGTAAAGGAAACACATAGTAAGATTAACTACAGTAAGCTCATCTTTTCATGTGTATATTTAAAAACATTAAAAAGTCTATAGTTCTGTAAAAAATGTAGTGTGCAAAGTGTCCGATAATACTGAATCTGCAAAAATCTTTCATTGTTCTGACTGCTTCAAGCTGCTTAACAGAGAAATCTAATTGGTTGCTATCATTCACTGTACTCCGTACGTCAATCTGCCTTACTAAATAACTAACCACTTTTTTTATTATAGGTATTTATATAGCGCCAACAATTGACATACTGTACATTCACATCAATCCCTGCCCTCAATGAGCTTACAATCTGAGGTCCCTATCTCCCATACACATAGGGCCAATTTGTAGGCAGCAGAAAAATCACTTCCAGCATGTTTGTGGAGTGTGGGAGGAAACCAGAGCTCCCACGTAAGCACAGGGAGGACATGCAAACTCCTTGCAGATAGTGTACTGGCCAGAATATGAACCAGGGACCCCTGGTGCTGCAAGGAAGAAGTGCTAACCATTACACCACCATGTTGCCTGTCTGACAAATGCTAGTCTTGCTCAGGATTCCCATTGGTTTTCCAATAATGAAATAAGTTGTCTTTTATAACATGCCAACTACATATAAATGATGCACAGATAAATTAAAGAATCAATATTACTTTAAAGCTAGCATATGTGTTTCTAACATACCTACTGTATCTAGAAATAAAACCTCATGTTAGCCCATGCAAAAATTAATTAAAACCCACGGGGCTCAAGTGCGAAAAAAAATATAGCCCGCCATTTCTTAAATTATTATGCAGGATTTATATAGCAACACCAGTTTACACAGCGCTTTACGAAATGGATCAAAAAGATTTCCCACTTTAACTACTGATGTGCAGATTATTCATTACATTTGGTTAGAGTTTGCCTTTTGTAGTTCTTTCACGCCTGCTACTGGCTCAGACAGCAGATTATAGCAAAGAAAGGGGATGTGAAGGAAACAGAATTCTGCTTTATTTTGCACAGAAGGAAAAGTAAGCAGAAAACTGGCAAGCAAAGGGAAGCTGCAGTAATGGGTGGGCCCTCTGACCTCAGGGACAGTTGCACCTCTACAGTTACACCCTATTTGACACTGATATTAAAATAGGCTTCATTTTATTTTATTTCTTTTACTTCTTTGGGTGTTACAGGCATACACGGCTTAACACGAATGATGCAAAGCTTACCATCTTGTCTAACTGACCCTCATATGGTAAAGAAAACAAATTAAAATATTTTTATATTGAAGGCAGATAAAATATTAAAAACTGTACAATAATCAGAAACATTCTTTAGATTACTCCTGAGGTCTTCTGAGATACCAGTAAAGTGTCTCTTTGACAACATAAACCAGCTGCCAGCTAGGCGATAACATTACTGAAAGCAAAGCTACAAGCATCAATCATGGCCAGGTTCATCCCCCAGACACCGCTCTTGGTATGATAGAAGGGTTATCCATAAACACGATGCACACACGGTGATGGAAATGTACAAAGAATTGAACTGAAAGACTCCAACAGCTTTCGTTCAGTAATTTGATTTTTTTTTACATTATTTGAAATCAGCAGACATACCTTTGCACCAGTTTTTCAGAATCATAGTTATATTATATACATATTATATTATTAACTAATTTATTACAGGTATTTATATAGCACCAACAACGTACAAAGTACTTTAGGGAGAACTCCTTGCAGATAGTGATCAGACTGGGATTTGAACCAAGGATCCCTACTGCGGCAAGGCAGAAGCGCAAACCACTACACCACTGTGCTGTCATAATACTCACATATAATTTATATGCTGATAGTGTATTATAATAAAAAGTCAGTTTAATATGGCAAGAGATATGTTTCCATAAAGGCAGAAAGTATAAAAAATGTACACAAAGTGTTGATATTTGGGCGCACATATGGCATCATTCTTTAAGGGAACATAATATACAGCTGAAATTTTAAGAGGTCTATTTACAAAAGGGTGAAGAGTTTGGAGAAGGCAGGAGAAGTGAACCATCTAGGACAACATAGCTGATTTGGAAAAATTCTCCAATTCAGCTCACATTCCAGTTCAGCTGTTTTGTCCTAAATTATTAACTTCTCCTGCCTTCTCCAAACTCTTCACCCTTTTGTGAATAGACCTCCTAGTATCGCAATGAAATAAAGGAGGAGGTAAGGTAGACACTGGGCTGTTTTTTTCCCATGATAAAGGCTACAGCATACTTTGGAAGATCCATAATTAAGGCCTATTCCAGTCCAGTATTCTATACTACCTAATGACACGATGGCACCACAAGCAGATTAGCCTATGGTGAGAAGGGTGTCACACGCTTCAGTATTTGCCATCTCTGTACATTCAATTAACCAGCTATCTTTCTCACTACCTTATCTCATAGAGCTAAAGTAACATGCACGTAGAAAGGGAGAATGATACATTGTATGTAAGAAGCTACTACAAGAAGAACTCCAGGCATAATTATTCTTAACCCTTACAATGGGGCTACCTCCGCACTGCAAGGGTTAAGTGCTCAATTTTGTGTAGGGATGAAAACAAGTTATATTCACCTGAACCTCCCTGTCCGCTCCATTGGTCAGTGATGGATGCTGAGGGACACTCCATCACTGGAGCAGAGGGTGAGCAAGGCAGCAGGCACTGATCTAACAGCCAGACAGCTGTATGGGTCAGGTGAGTGTAACTTTTTTATTTTCATCCCTAGACAAAAACGAACAATTACTTGCTTAGCCCCACTGCAAGGGTTAAGAATGATTGTGCCCGGAGTTCTTCTTTAAAGAGGAACTTCACTCAGCAAAAAATGAAAAGTCAGCAGCTACAAGAACTTTAGCAGATGACTTTAAGGAAACACATACTCACCAGCCCATGAAAATCAGAGCTGTCATCCACGCAGCCAATTCTCAGGCCTTCTGACCTTCCATTCCGTCATCATGGATTTGGCATCAATACTTTCCTACTCGCTGGTTCTAGAACAAGTTTGCAGATCAGGTGTTCTGACCTCACTCTGACTTCACTGGCAGCTTGCTTGTTCTGAGTCAGTGACTAAAAACATGAAGCACAGTGAGGCAACTAACGTCTACTAACTAACTAACTAACAACTAACTAACAGACTGCATCCTAAGTATTTTTTCTCAGTATAGCTTTCCTATAACAGAAGGCTATCGTGTACGTTGTCTGTTTGCCCTGTAACTTTAATGATCACGCACAGACATTTGAGAGCAGAGACGAGAGCTAGTGAAGCACAGGAGTGCCTAAAAAGGCATTCTTGTTTCTAATTTGCTTTGTGACAGCTGATGGTTTTATCATTAGATGAACAAGCAGCAGAACTGATGCCAGTTTTCCTTTTTTCTGTTTATCTATCCAGAGGAAATTAGGTTAATGTCTGTTTAAAAGGAATCAGCTGTTAAGCTGTGAGACGACAGAAATGATTCAGACATACTCTGCAGCTGATAGCGACAATTCACCAACACACATCAAAAAGTCCACCATTTGTCAGACGGCCGTAAGCACAAATTAGAGAATTGCTCCATCACACAACACTGTAACCAAATTCATTTTTATCATTTTTTAGACACATAGAGCTTTCTTTTGTTGGAATTTAATCACCACGTTTTTATTTTTTACTACTTATGGGGGAAAAAACCTGTTTACCTTACTTTTTGTTTTAAAACATATCAAATACAAATGTCAAGAAAATCCCCAAATTGGCCCCTTTAGTACACACTCCAAGGTGATCTGATTTTTTTACCACCATGTTTTGGAAATGGAGAAACATCCATTAATTAGTTCCTGTACTCTTACTTGTCTCTGCAGGAGGAAGGGGAGGGCTTGGCAATGTAGACATTGCCACGTGATCGCTGTGATAACCAATCACAGAGATTACAAAGCACAGAGTTGGTCCAACTGGCTCTGTGTCTGATGCCGCTGCTGTCCACTGTCTAATGACAGCGAGAGGAGCAGCTTCTGTACACGTACGGCGTGCACAATCAGGATACCATGGGAGGACATACAGGTACATCCTGAGGACCGGGCATTTTTGTACAGAGGCCTGTTCTAT